TTTTTTTTTTAAATTTATATTGCACACAGGGCGCACCTCCCTCAGTGCGTGCACTGCGCACAGTGTGTGCTCGTTGTCACTCCAGTTTACAGCGCAGTGCGCACCGCCCCGCACCGCATTGCGCACTGGTGCACTGCAACTATGCTATTTTTTAATGTTCCTCTTTGCAGTGATAAGGTGACCAGCCGTATTAAGAATCCATAGCAGATTCAAATCTGTGTGTGTGTGTGTGTGTGTGTGTGTGTGTGTGTGTGTGTGTGTGTGTGTGTGTGTGTGTGTGTGTGTGTGTGCGCATTCTCATGCGCGTCCCTGTGAACCCTGCAGCCTTGTGTGAGGCTGACAAGTGGCCTACCACTCGTGCTGGTGGGATGATCTGTCAGCTGGTTGGTAGCTGACCGGTCAGAGTCTGCTGAGTGTCGGCAGTGGAACTGTGGGCATGGCATTACTCTTACTCTCAGGTGAATGAGTGCATTATGGAGACATTTGCCTCTGGGAATGACTTCACAACAGTCGCATGGGGAGTTTCTTTCAGAGTCCTTTGTTATAGGCCACCGTGGCTGTTGGGCTCTGCTATAGAAATAGCCTCCTGTTTGAGTGATCAGAAGTCTGATGGGTCCTGTTACCACCCACGAAAATGATAAGGTCTCAGGGTGGGAAGTTTGACTGCTTCCTGGAGCTGCCTATTCTCGTCTGTGCTACCGGAACTTGTGCAGTAACGACGATCGAGCACACTCGGAACCAAACTGTCTGCGCGACATCGTCATGGCGTTTCACTGTCCTGGATTCTAGGACGCCGTGCACTTTTGGGTGTGGCCTGTGCAGACGTCTTATGTCCACAGAATTTTCAGGTGACGTTGGCCCTTGACATCCTTTTTCTGGATCTGAAGGGAATACTCGCACCAGCACCTTATGGAGTACATACATTGGGCTTGTCACACCTCACGCACTACCCGGCAAGCCGGTTTCTCCAGCCGTCAAATGTCAGCAGCTTTCTCACCTACGCGTATTGCTTCGTGGGCATCTGCAGGTGTGCCCAGGTGCCCCCAAACCCACTATTTCTTTCTTCCCTACACTTGAAACAGACTCGTTATAATAGGTGATGCTTATTGCACTGTGTGGCTGGCCTGGCTCTAAAAACTGCAGATTTCCTTTAATTTCTGATTTTGTTTGATTTGGAAACTGGGCACTGTTTGACTTCTCGTCCCCCAAACCCATGTTCCTTTGTCCGCTAAACGTAGCAAATATGCGAGGAGAACGGTATAAGGGTGAGTGTGCCCTGATGTCCCAATATGCCAAAACTCTGGTTCCTGTCTTTGAACCAGTTTCCATTTTTTTAGGAGTAGGATATTTTCCCGTATCCCAAACAACGGGAAAGGTAGTGAAGGTTTAAACCACAAGTACACGGCCCCAGCCTTGCAGTCCGAAACTTGTCACCACAAGAAAACGAGGCCGAGTGGTCAAACACTGTG